AGAGAGAGAGAGAGAGAGAGAGAGAGAGAGAGAGAGAGAGAGAGAGGAGATGGCATGATGTTTGGAAGACAGCAGTGCCGCCTGGTCACAGCAGATGGCTGCAGGGTATTCTAAATGAGGGCTGCCAAAGCAGCCTATAATTGATTTTCTGACAAAGGAGATTTTTTTTTTTAAGTATTGCAGACCAGTTGAGAGTTCAGCCACTAAGAAGTTACCAGTAAGCTTGCTGCACAAAAGTCCTCTTCTCTTCTCCTCAGAGTCAAGGCTGAAGAGTAAATATGATCTGCTTGGTTACGGCAGAGACTGACAGGGGCTATGGCTAAGGGTGGCTGCACTCTGTCTCAGTCTTGGGCCCTATGGAGCACTCACAGTCCTAGAAGAGATGGAAGCTACTTTCAAATCTTCATTCAAGACAAAAGGCACCAAGGCCACTGAATTATAACTGTAGAAAAAAGTCATCTCTTTCAATGTGCTGCTCTAAGAAAAAAGGAAGCAATAAAATTTGATCGATTCAACTTTTAAGTATACATGAGGTTCAGGAAATATAATTCCTAAGCCATAATATTGAATTAACATATCTCATTGCACCTAGTTCTATACAGTGGTGCAGTGTATGATGTTCCAGACACAAGGACAAGAGAGCCACATGAAGTGGGGGTACATTAAACAAAGCCAACTCTTTTCACAGATTCCTATTAGTAGACATTGCCTTGCTTATTCACAAAAACAATCTAACATCTCAGTATGAAGGAAAATCAAGCAAAAGTCACAGGAGGACAGGTGCTGCCTTAAGTACTCACAGGAAAGTTATTCTTATAATACTAAGGTAGTCTGGTCTCATGTAGCTTAAGGTGGTCTTGAGCTCTCTATGTAACTGAAGACGACCCTAAACTTCTGATCCTCCTGTGGATTACAGAAGTTCACTATGCTCTGTTTATCCAGCGCTGGAGTTGGAACTCAAGGCTTCATGAATACAAGGCAAGCATTCTATAGAGCTATATTCCCAACCCCAAAGAAACTTCATGTGACTTTATTCACACATAGAGTTCTCCCCAGGTTTTAAAACTAAAAATGAAAGCTGGGATGTTCTAAAGCAGTGAAACCTTCAGATCTCCTAGTTTCTTTAAAAAGAGATAAAAAAGAAACCAAAATACAAAAAATCTGAAAGGGCTACCTTTGACCGAAAACACACATGCATGCATGCATGCACGCATGCACGAAACTCCTTTGTAAAAGAAACTAGTTAGCCAGGCATGGGGCATAAATTCCAGCATTCTAGAGGCTGAGGCAAAAGGATCTCAAGTTCAAGGCCAGTCTTAGCTATGGAGTGAGATCCTCTTAACAACACACACAACACAACACAGCATTATACAGAGAGTAATGTCACATTTCACAATCTATATCCTGAACACAATACAGAGGCTCCATATTACAAGGATTGTGTGAAAAATCACAGGTGTACTTCTGTGAAGTCAATGCCCTGTTACAATCTGTCACATCACGGACAGTTGGCCCCCTTGGGGCACATAAGCAGTTTCAGCATCAATCACCACAGATAGCCATAAAACTAAGGAGGCTCTCTGACAAAGTAAGGTTTCCATCCTTAAATGAAACAACTCCCTGTGTCCCTAGACGGTCAATTTGTAATTCTGGAACACCCAATTTGGTCAGTTTGGTTGAAGGATTACTTAAGAATACCAACTGTATATTCAATGAGCCTATCTTTAAGGGGCCTGCACTCAGTGAAGGAGGAGATGGCAATAAACTTCCAGAGTAGCACAGAGCAGGCTGTCTGAAATGCCTTAGGCAAAGGTCAAACCAGAGTCACTGCCGTTCAGAACTGCCTTGATGTCTGCAGTTAAAGGAACTAAGCTAAGCCTCTGAAGCTTTGCTCTATAACTCAGAGAACTTTCAAGTTAGCGAGAAGAAACTGGGCTCCATGGTCATGGAGGTTTATAACCTGCTTCTGTGCGGCATCATCACACCTCTGCAATTTCATCTGACACCAATTCTCATCACTTGGGGAAAGTTCTATTCTGAAGATTTTTTTTTTTCCATTACTGAACCAAAAGGACTGACTATTTGGAGGCAGAATATTTTCTGCAGTATAGAAGCATTTGTGGTCAACTCCAAGGGGTTGGCCTGGGCTGCTTCTGTAAACATACTCAAATTGGTCTTTTTAGTACTGAGGGAGACAGCATGAGTCAATGTACCTGTAAGAAAAATAAGTGTTGCGTGATCTCTTGAACTAGCTCCTCCTCAGCATTCTCAGGATAAAATTTGGCCAGGAAGTGAAAGGTAACCGGTTCTTCCTTCGAAACATCATGATCCAACACCTGCAGAATTTCAGACAAAAGACATGCTGTGCTGGCTCCTCTTCTTCACGTACTATCATCAGAGTATGCTTTGCAGGGAAGGTATGAAATCCCTTCCCTTGTTACAAGCATCCCATTTCCCAAAGGTTGTGTTTCTACAATTGGAAGGATTCACAGAGCCATCCACAGCAAGAGATAATTTCTACTTCGCACAGGGGGTTCTGAACCAAACCAATCAATAAACACAAGGGGTGAACAGAGTTACAGAGACAGCAGCAGTGTCAAAGCCACAGAAAATAGTTATAAAACTAGAATGTATAACTCAAAGATCTTGGGCATTATCCTTTATGGAAGACAGAAGATTTATTCTGAAATAGTAACATCTTCCTTTATTCCTTTTTTTTTTAAACTGCCCTGAAATACAACTTAAACACAATAAACTAGATCTTTGTGACATCATTTATATGTTATGAATACTAGAAGTAAAACATGGCCATCATGGCAATGCTTTGTTCCTGGAATCTTTCAGATGGTCACAAAATGCTTGCCATGCAGTAAGTAAACCACTGTCTTTAATCTTCTAACAATCCCACCACCCCCTGAAAAGATTGGACCATCTGCTCTCCAGAGTGAATTTCATTTCAGGACATAAACATGCTACCAGGCTCCATTAACATGTGTCATAATTTATTTCCTTTGAGCAGCAGGTTCTATGACTCCTGATGCCCCCAATCTAATATCCATTTGGCTAACATTCAGGTATGATTTAAAATTCACTTTGCTGAGAATCATAAAAAGACACAGAAAGCTTTGCTGTGTTTCAGAATTCTCCATATGCCTGCCTGAATTCCAGTGGCAGTCCCAGGGGACTCAAATAAGTCTAATCTAGTTGTCCTCCTCAGCACTGGCTCTTTGTGGCATCTGGAGTTTCTAATCATTGGCACTGACCACAGAAACTGACAACCATCAGGAGTTCTAAGCATGAAGGCAATCACCACATACATGCTGTGAACACAATTCGAATATCTCACTTAACACTAGTAAGATGAGACTTTTGCTGGTTATCACATTATGCAGGAGAAAACTTCAGGGGCAAATGACAGGGGTACCATTTAGGGTCAGAATTGGACATGGAGTCACTTTGGGAATCAGAGGTCTTTTGGCCATGTTCTCCAGCTGTCTTCACTGTAAGGTAATCAAGAAAATAGACAGCCATGTCTTTGTGTGAATATATGAATCCATAAGTGGGCAGTCTCCCTGAGCCATAGCCATTTCCAAGCCACCTTCAAATTACTAGAAACCTAGATTTCATGTGCTTAAGAAACCCCAGAGAATCCTGAGGAGGAAATGGGCATTGCTCCTTCACCTCAGGCTCTTTATTCCTTAAGGCTTGTTAATGATTAAGTCAGTTGGGTCTTGGTGTTCTCAAAGACTTATTAAAAAAAAATAATGAACATGAGCCCTAGGAGAATCTCTCAAAGACATAAATTTTTGGGTTTTTTTTTTTAAGTATACAAAGGTAGTAGTAATGTTATCCATAAAACCTGACTAGTGGTTCAATAAACGGAAGGACATAATGCCAAAAAGCAGACAGGGTAGTGACAATGGGTAGAAAAGCTGGTGAAGGTTTAGACAAAGTGAATCCTGCTTGTCTGGGAGAGTCTATGGAGAACAGAAATGTCTGTAGGACCTGTTTCCTAAATATATGACTTAATATTAAAAATTGTCCCCTTCTTTACTATGTCCTTGTGATACCCCAACAATAAGCAAATGAGCTATGTGCATGCTCAGGAAGAAACCAAACCAAACAACAACAAAACAACTGGAAAGTACAAGCCTCCCCCACTAGTTTCATGGAGATCTAGCCCGACCTTCTTGTCCATTTTGAGCCAGGCCACAGTGTCCTTGATTGTGTACTGCAGTCCAAAAAACCAGGTTTCCCGAAGCCCCAGTGTCCGGCACACCAAATCAAACAGGTCCTTCCCTTTCCATTTCATCTGCAATATAACAAACGAACAGGGAAGGACGTTGTAAGCAAAAATCATAATCAGTTCATACACAAAACTGTTCTCAGCACTCTCTTCTGTCACCAAAATGGCCGATGAGCACTGAATTCCTAAATAATTTCAAAGCTTCCCACACAAAACCATGAGTGGGAAAATACCAATTAGAGCTTAATGGCTCAGTTGCTGCGGAGCACACACAATACCTCCTTGGACAGTTCCGTACAGTTCGCAATATCCCTGAAGCTGCGAGTTTAGCAAACCTGGTAAGTAAGCAGCCTCATTTAGGAGAGTCAAGCATCCTAAATTAGCCCAGGAAGATGGCTAGTTTGTGAAACGTTACCTCCCTTGAGTTTTTTGGTTTTTTTTTTTTGGTTTTTCAAGACAGGGTTTCGCTGTAGTTTTAGAGCCTATCCTGGATCTACATCTAGTTCTTGTACACCAGGCTGTCCTCAGACTCACAGAGATCCGCCTGCCTCTGCCTCCCGAGTGCTGAGATTAAAGGCGTGTGCCGCCACTGCCCGGTTTGAGATTTTTTTTTTAAAATCATGACTCTACCTTTTGATAAAAGGTTAAGTATTCTCTTTTTAACTTAAAGACTAGTCTTACCAGAGAAAAAAATTAAATATATGGAAATTATAACCGAAGCCAAAACTTGTAGGGCAGAAGAACAATGAGAGACCAGATAGGACAGCTGCAGGTCTCTATCAGGATGCCTGGTTGGGCCCAAGCAGAAGCAACTTGCCCACAGGCACAAAGAGCAATTCCACATGCTCAATGTCCAACCCATGTGATGAACATACAAATTAACTATGGCATGTTTATTCCATAGGCCTCACTTTCAAAAACACTTAAATCGCTGCTAAACCATTTTCTTTTCCTCTGCTATTCAATGGTGTATGTGTAAAAAGCAAGTTCAAACATCTTCATAGGAAAAGAGGATGCAGGGCAGCTGAGTAAATGTTGCCACCTAGTGGATTTCAGTCAATTAGGTTTTTCCTATATTACCTCTTAGCTACTGCTTACTGGATATCCACCCCAGCCATCCCATGAATCAAATAAACATTCAAATAAACACTTGAATACAGTTATGATCATATGAAAAATATGCAAGAGCAATCCTGAGACACAAATGTAAGGGAATAATAAGATCACCTGACTACAAAACTATCTGCTCTTCTCCCATCCCCACCAGGAAACCTCTACCCTCCTGGGAGACAGCTCAGTAAAATGCTTGTCACTTAAAGCCTGAGAACCTGAATTGGAACCCAACACTCATGTAAAAAGCTGGATGTGAGCCTGGCGGTGGTAGCATATGCCTTTAATTCTAGCACTCAGGAGGCAGATCTCTGTAAGCTTGAGACCAGTCTGGTCTACAGAATGAGTTCCAAGACAGCCTGGGTTACACAGTGAAACCTTCTTGAAACACCCATACACAAAAAAAGTTGGTTGTGGTGGCCCATGCTTATAATCTCGGGGTTGGGAGTGCCAACCAGTCTAATAAAGGAACTCTGGTCCCAGTCAGCGTCTAGCTTTAAAATAAAAAAAAAAGGAGCCAGCAATGGTGGTGCAGTTCTTTAAATCCCAGCACTTCAGAAGCAGAGGCAGGAGGATCTCCAAGTTCAGGGCCAGCCTGGTCTACAGATCAAGTTCCAGAACAATCAGGACTACACAGAGAAACCCTGTCTCCCTCCATCCACACACCATGGCATTCACATCACACACACACACCCCAATAAATAAACATGAAAAAGGTGAGTGGCTCCTGAGGAACCAGAGGTTGACCTCAATGGTTGACCTCAATGTTTGTATAGGGTATGTGAAATGAATATGTGGAGCTATATGGCTCTGGGACCAAACTCTTGTAGACAGGCTTGTACAGTAAGTGTTTTTACCAACTAGCCATCTTGCCCATCCCTTTACCATTCTCCCCACTCCAAGTGCTAGGGATCAAACTCAGGATCTTGTACTTCTTAGGCAAGTATCCTACTACTGAACCATACTCCCAGCTTTAATAGATGTGAATGTAGAGTCTTCTTCCAGTATTCAACAGGAAAAGCCAACTCTCTGTGTGTTTGCAGCCAGAGTCAGCAACCCAAATGGCTGGACACCAAGATCACAACACACAAGTGGTATATTGGCTTTGGTCCTTTACCAAGCAAGGCATTTCTCCTATCTGTCCTGCAACCTTGGCCCCAAACCCTTTCTGACTATAATCAGGTCCCTTGAATACTGCAAAGATGAAAATCTTGAGATTTTTGAGTAGGAAAAAAGGTTTTATTTTTATTTTATTATTATTTATTTATTTTTGAGGTTTTTCGAGACAGGGTTTCTTTGTAGCTTTGAAGGTCTGTTCGCCTGCCTCTGCCTCCTGAGATTAAAAGCGCTGGGATTAAAAGCGTGCGCCACCACCACCGGTTCAGTTTTATTTTTAAAATATAATTACTTCCCCCCTTTTATAAGGCTGGATAGAAGACACACCCATTTGACAACTGGACTGAGATCTTAATTCCTACAGGCAGACTTAACTGAAGAAATGTTATCTTGGAGAACTGGAAGCTTCAGGATGCTGATTATCCTCTTGTCTCTATTTTAAGCAGCACACAGTATATAAATTATAAATGCCTACCTTGCCACAACATAATGTGCCACTAAAGAACAGGCATTAACTCCGGGAAGTTAAACACCCAAGGGGCCAAGAGGATCAGGATATCACTCCCAATTCACCATAACTCACAGGCACCGCCAGGCCTGGCCTTGGTTGTCAGAAAGCAGGGGCGAGTAGAGCCCTGGAAGGAAAGTGAACTTCCATACTGGAGAGCTGAAAATCTCAATGTAATACAGTATTCCTGCAGATTTCCTGTACCCCTTCCAATTCTTTGTTTTTAAAATGCGGGTCTATTTTTTTTGTTAAACACAAAAAGACTACGTCATTGCCCCCATAGAGCTTGCAATAAACTGAGGAGACAATTCTCCAAATAATCCAGAATGCCCTACTTACATTATTTTCCCTACATATCTTAACATTGGTGCAAAGTACTACTGACTACTGGAGCTGAAAAGGAGCCTCCGGAGTCACCCACTGTGAATCCATGCGCTTGTAAAACTAAGTAAACTGAGTCACCAGTTATTTGGCAGTCTACCAAAATGAACACTGGCCTGTTTTTTCATGGTGATCCAAGGTAGGCAAACACCTTATCTCAGAAAAACCCTTTTCCAGTTCTGTGATCATCAAATCTTTTTGCCCCTACCTTGGCCAGTAAGTGACCAATACTGAAACAGAACCCCTCTGAGAAGAGTCAGACACAGCTCATTCACATGCTCCAACAAGTACTGTAGAGCATACCCAAGTGTCACACAGAGGCTACGCATGGCAAAAGCAGGGTGTCTGTAGGAGAAAAAGGCAAGAACTCAGGTCAGAGGAGAATTGAAGAACAAGTGAGGGTTCAATGATGGAGGGAAGGAACACTATTTTAAAAACAAAACAAAAAACCATGGTCATTATAGGGAACTGCAAGTCTATGTTATGGGATTGAAACTCTCAGGCAACCTCAGGAGTGAGGATGGTGGAAATGACACTTGATGCTGGAGCAAGTGTCTCGCCTCAAAAGAACAACCTCAGGCTTTGAGGATTCCTCTGCTTTATGCCAACAGGGTAAAGAATAAGCTGCAGGGAAGGAACAGTTGCAGGATGGACAGGAGCACAGAGCACGTGACCCCTCCTGTCATCAATAAGGCAAAGAGAGAGAGAGAGAGAGGTTGAGAAGCAGAAGGAGGCGATCCCAGAACCAGCACTCGAATAGGCTAGAGGGAGAAAAACTCCAGGACACCTACCTGCATTTCCGGCTGGAGCACCTGGTATCCCACTGAAAGAGAGAAGGAATACAGAAAAAGCAGCAAGTTTGGGGGGGAAAGATGAGCGATTAAATTTTAGACAAGATTAGTTAAACTAAAGAAAGCAAGTGGTATGGTGGTATGTGCCTTTAATTCTAGCACTCAGGAGGCAGAGGCAGGCAGATCTCTGTGAGTTCAAAACCAGCCTAGTCTGATAGTAAGTTCCAGGTCAACCAAGTCTACCCTGTCTCAAAAAGAGAGAGAGAGAGAGAGAGAGAGAGAGAGAGAGAGAGAGAGAGAAGAAGGAAGCAAAATAGAGATGTCATATATATCTCAAGCTCTCTGAGCTGAAGAGCTAGCTCAGCTGCACTGCCACAAAGTCTAAGAACCAATGTTTAATCTCTGAGACCCACGTGGTAGGAGAGAGCGAGAGCGGACCACCAGAACAGGCAATAGATCATCCTCTGACCTTCATATATGTGCCTCCAATACAGACACAAAGTAAATAATTTTAAATATTTTTTTAAAGAACTAAAAGACCAGGGTTGGAGAGATGGCTCAGTGGTTAAGAGCATTGCCTGCTCCTCCAAAGGTCCCAAGTTCAATTCCCAGCAATCACATGGTGGTTCACAACCATCTGTAATGAGGTCTGGTGCCCTCTTCTGGCCTGCAGGCATATATAGACAGAATGTTGTATACATAACAAATAAATATTTAAAAAATAACTTAAAGACCTTCATTTATAAAATAAAACATCCTAAAATGAGTCAGAAAGATTCGTTGAGCCCAGGAGTCTAAGATAACCCTGCATAATACAGTGGGGCCTCATTCCAAAACAAAAGAAAACGTTTTACCTTTGTCTTTAAACAATTAATAAGGTTTTCGGCTAGATATGTTGTCTTACACCTGGATTCCTAGCACTTAAGAGACTGAGGCAGGAGCTTTGGCTATATGGAGAGACTCAAAAAACAAACAAGCAAGCAAAACAAAACCCAGTCAAACAAAGCAAAAAGACCAAGACGTTTTGTTTGGTTAAATTTAATCTCCATGTTACCTATAAAAGGTTGTGCTTTCAAAACTCAAATCCAAATGAATCAAAGACCTCAACATAAAGCCAGCCACACTGAACCTTATAAGACAAAGTGGGAAGTACATTTGAA